GCCAGCCAGATGAATCCAATCCACAGCCTGGAATTGCACTTCGAACAAATCAAAACCGACGTTTTCGCGTGCAGGCCTCAACTTTTTCTCTGCACACAAGCGAAAAGATTTGGTGAAGCCAAACGTTGAAACCGATAGGCAGAATTAGGACGACAGTCTCTGCGCGGTCACGTTTCAGTGGATCTCACTGCCTCCATCATCAGGGCTACCGCCGTAAAAAACCCGAAATCTCACTCGTCAGAATGTAGGCTACCTGCATCAGCGGTGACAAACACACAAGCCGGCCTGCACGCACGCACGTGAAAATCCAACTTAAATTTCGGGCAAATTCGACCTCCCAGAAGTTTCTCCTCCGGGCCAAGAGAGTGTTCAGGATACAAGAAAATTAAACAATTCGTGTGAAAATTATTTACGAAAAGGGGAGTGAGGGCGAGAATACAAAGTTTGATAAATAGGAGTATTTAGGTCGTGTGTTGAAAACACCAACATGGCGACGATGCGAACCTGACCTTAAGGCTGTGGTCCCACGCGACTGATGTCTTCATACGCTTTTTTTGTTGGAAATGAGCGTCCTTCCGCGTGATTTGCTATGATTGACAGTCGCGTTGTGTCCACGTTCCGAACTGACGTGACGTATAGGAACCCCCGCCCCCATGCATCACATAGGAGGAATGAAAACATCTTTTTTCTAGGACCCCTCTCCCCCAAAACTCCTCAATTTCAACTTTATTCGACAGCCCTAAAAAAACGCACGCACGCACGCTTCTTCTATAAAAAGATTTGCACACACGGGGGCAGTTTAGTGAACACAAGTGACGACCTTTCATAAACACCTCCGCTGTTCGTACGTGAGACGTAACATTAGGACCGCGCAATTGCCATGGAAACCAAAGCCCGGCGTTCTCTGAAACAAGGGAATGATTCCCCCTCGCCCAAGAACGTCCGCCCAGCCCATAAACAGTGGGTAAGGCGGCCGGAGCTTGAAGCTGACGACTCGCCTCTGTGTAACGCCAAGGTTAAGAACTCGTTCAGCGACGCCCAGAAACTCATTAATGACAAACGAGGATGACACACAGCGCCTCTGGTGGGAAATGCAGGCTTCGAACGTCAGTCGCGGTTTTCCTCAGTCCCTCCAGGACAAATGTCAGGCAGAGCGAGTCTTTCTTAGTGGAAGGCTCAACACGGTGCCCAAAAACTTTTAATCTCGGCCCCATGCGTGCTTCATGCCACGAGTGTCCC